AGTCCTTCCTCTGTGTCCTTGACCCCTGCATCCATGACTGCCAGGCCAGCTCACCGGACAAGCCCCCGGTCAGCGGCCAGCATGCCCTTCTTCCCTCGGGTCCCCCTGAGCTCCCTCACTCATGTGTCTGTTGATGCCTCTTTGGCTTCTGTACTTGTCACTTCCTCCTTCACAGGGTTTTCTCCAAACACCTGGGCCCTGTCCTCAAGGGACCACCCGCCTAGATAGGTGGGAGGGTGTGAGGATTAGATTCATTCATTCCACCTTCCTTCCCTTCTCTTCCCTCTTTTCTCTCCTTCCTTCCCTCCCTTCTGTCCTTCCCTTCCTCCCCACATTTCTATTGAGGACCTTTTCTGTGCCAGGCACTGTACCAGGCCCTGGAGAACACAGCGTTAGATAAACTGCCCTCAGGGAGCCGACGTTCCAGCAGGCGCTGAGGGCCCCCTGACCTGCGCCGCCTCTCATGCGGGCTCCCTGTGTCTCTTCCCTGGCACAGGCCCAGTTCGACCTGGCCTTCGTCGTGCGCTACAAGCCCGACGAGCAGCCCTCGCTGATGCCACACCACGACGCCTCCACCTTCACCATCAACATCGCCCTGAACCAGGTCGGGGTGGATTACGAGGTGAGCAGGGTCGCTCTGGCCCAGGGAGCAGGCAGGAGGGAGGCTGGCTGGTGAGCAGCTTGCAGGGTGTTCGAAGCTGAGGGGCCCAGGATGCACCAGCACCAGAGAACTAGGAACCGGAGAGAAAGGGCGCTAGATCCGTGGGGAAGGCTTCCTGGGAGGGGCGGGCTCAGCACAGTTTGACAGGAGGGAGAGGGCTTTAGACCCAAGAGAGCAAGGGGCCAGGAGGCCTGGAGCCAGATGACCTTACCTGGGTCCTGCCCCCCTCCCCCCCTTGCTCGGGGGCCTCAGGCAATCTCTTGGGAAAACTTAAAGTGCCCTCCCCACAGCTGTGAGGATGACATGAGCTCATCCAGGTAACTGTGTACGTAGTAAGGACTCCAGGAGTGGTAGCTAGTAGTAACAAGTTCAGGGTCCGCATCATTCTTGGAAGAGGGCTGCTTTGGGAATGACTAAACCCAGGCTTGTGGCTGGAGGGAAATCTGGGGAAACCAGGAAGACATGAGGGTGAGGAGGAGCAGTTCTGGGGCCTTAGACCCTAAGGGAGGCCTGTGGGTGTGATCAGCTATAGAGCCATTGATCCATTCATTCACTCACTCCATAAGCTACTATTTTTAAGGAGTTTTTTGTGACTCAGTCCCGGGTTACACACTGTGAAGGAGACCCATAAAAACACCTGTTTTTTTGAGAGTCGACAATGTGCCAGGGGTTCTCATAGGGGACGATTTTGCCCCCCTCCCCAAAGGACATTGGCAATATCGGAAGACATTGTCGGTGCTACTGGCATCTAGTGGGGAAAGCCCTCGTAAGAAAGATTGATTGGGCCCGTCGTGGTGATGCTGCGTAACAGTACGAATGTACTTGATACCATTGGACTGTTCCCTTAAAAATGGTTACCATAGTAAAGTTTATGTTACGTGTATTTTACCACAATTAAAAAAAAAAAAAAAAAAGAGCCCTGGCCAGTTTGGTTCAGTGGATAGCGCGTCAGCCTGCGAACTGAAGGGTCCCAGGTTCGATTCCGGTCAAGGGCACATGCCCAGGTTGTGGGCTCGATCCCCAGTGGGGGACTTGCGGGAGGCAACCGATCCATGATTCTCTCTCATCATGGATGTTTCTCTCTCTCTCTCTCCCTCTTCCTTCCTCTCTGAAATCAATAAAAATATATTTTAAAAAAAAGAATTATCTGGCTCAAAATGTCCATAGTGCTGAGGTTGAAAAACCTGGCCCTAAGCTCTTACTTGTATCATCTTATTGAATGCTCACAACTCTGTGCAATTTAATGCCCATTTTCCAGAAGGGAAAATTGAGGCTCAGGCTGGTCACAGTTAATAAAGGGTGTGGCTGACCTTTGTCCAGGGCTGCCTGACTTTCTTTTTAAAAAATTAAAATATATATATATTATTGATTTCAGAGAGGGAGAGGGAGAAAGAGATAGAAACATCAATGATGAGAATCATTGATTGGCTGCCTCCTGCATGCCCCCCAATGGGGATCAAGCCTGCAACCCCAGGCATGTGCCCTTGACCAGAATCGAACCCAGGACCCTTTGGTCCACAGGCCGACGCTCTATCCACTGAGCCAAACCGGCTAGGGCTGCCTGACTCTTGATCACTCGGTCTTTGCTGAGTGACCCCCTTAGGCAGCATATGGCTGTCACTCCCAGGCATCCCAGGCAGGCTGTGCTGAGGGCTGCTTGGTTGTGGTGGCTCAGATGGAAGAAGAGGGGGTGGTGGGGGAAGGGCCCAGCTTCCTGTTGGGGAACTGACGCTTCCTGTTGGGAAACTGACCCTTCACGTCTCCTAGGGCGGTGGCTGTCGGTTCCTGCGCTACAACTGCTCCATCCGAGCCCCACGGAAGGGCTGGGCCCTCATGCACCCCGGGAGACTCACGCACTACCACGAGGGGCTCCCCACCACCAAGGGCACCCGCTACATCGCCGTCTCCTTCGTCGATCCCTAATTGGCCGGGCCCAGCCACTGCGGACACTTTCCTCTCTGCCAACAACCATTGCCCGAGGTCCCAGGAACCCCGTCCAGCCTCCAGGTTCTTGACCTCCCATTGCTCTTGGAGCTGCTGTTGGAGAGCCTGGGCCGCAGGCCAGGGGCGAGGACACCTCCTGGGCTGGGACTTTCCTGGTGCTCTGCACCCAGCCCCGGGGGAGGCTGTTTGTTCACTTTCACTGCCTTGAACAGCTCATCCTTTTCCACTTGTCTTCCTCAAAAACCCAGCCCTCTTCCTCCAGTCCTTCCCTGAGTGACACGTGAGCAGACAGGGGCTTACACAGCTGCCCCGAGGGCTCTAGGGGTGTGGAGCCACACCCCCGAGCTCCCACGCTCTCGGCAGCCCCGGGATCTGCCGGGATCTGCTTCAAGCTTCAGGGCCGACACCGAGACCTGGATCAGACTCAAGTCCTCAGCCGGGACTGCGGAAGCCCCTTCTTCCCTGGTTCCTGTCATGGGAGCCACACGCTGTCCCTGCAGATGGTGACTCGGCAGACCCCCCAGGCGGGCGGCGGGAAAGGCATGGATGCCACAGTGCCATCCTCTACTTGACCCTTGGCGGGGAGCGGGGGGGGGGGGAGTGACATGTCCACACACTGTACTGCGTCACCCTGTCCTGCATGTCCCCGTGTCTCTGGAGAGGGACAGACAGACAGACAGGAGAGTTCCTATTAAAAGTCATTCAAACCACCGAGGGGAGCTGCCTGGGTGGGTGAGTGCTGGTGTCGGGGGAGTGTCTGCAGGGAGGGGTTGTAAGAGCCCATGATTGGCAAGAAAGATCGCTCAGGAGGCTCAGGGCCTGTTTCCCAAACAAGCACGTGACCGTGGTATTGTTTGTATATTCCGCAAACCCTTACGTGTGAGCCAGGCACCGGCTGCCTGGGGCAGGCTTCTTCCTCCGTCCAGATCTGCATCAGGTGTCACCTCCTCTCTGGAGCCTTTGCTGACTACCCTTCCTGCAAACATGAACATCAGAGAACTCCCAAATGCTGCCAGCCCCTGCTATGCCCTGGGCGACTCTAACAGCTCAAGACATTCATTAATAACAACAGCTAGCATCTCTCCATCCCTTGCTGTGGGCTGGCATTGTGTCTGTCGGGCACTCGGCACACGGCCTTCTGGGGTGGAGCTATTATTTCCTTTTTATAGATGAGGAAATGTAGGCTCAGAGAGGCCAAGTAATTGGCCAAAGGCCACACAGGTAAGTGGTAGGGACAGGGATTTATTTTTTATTTATTTTTAATTTAAATTCTTTATTGTTTAAAGTAGTACACAAGTCTCCTTTTCTCCCCATTGACCTCTCACCAGCCGCTCCCACCCCCCCCCCAGGGACAGGGATTTGAATATTTCAGCCGGAACCTGGCCCCCCCCACCCCCCAATCCTGTAGTCAGCAGCCAGGGCAGAAAGAAACACATGCATTCACTGTGCACCAGTGTGATAAGTGCCACATGGCTGGCAGGCTGCTGTGGGGAAGGGAGGGACTGGTGGCTTGTGTTAACTCAATGCTTCCCAACTAAGAGCGATTTTGCCCCCTAGGGAACATTGGGCATTTGGCAATGTCGGAAGGCATTTTTGGTTATCACCACGGGGAAGGGGCAAGGAAAGCTACTGCACTAGTGAGTAGAGGCCGGGGATGCCTCTAAACATCCTACAATGCACAGGACCGCTCCTCCCTTCAGCCAAGAATTACCCAGATCTGAGCAGTGCTGAGAGGAGCCGGATAGCAGAGGCTAGCTCAGCACGCCTTGGGGGTGGGGGTGGGGGTGGGGGTGGGGGTGGGGGCGGGAGGAGGTCTCTCTTAGGCAGAGAGACTCCATGTCAGGCGCTGGAGCCAGCCAGGCACAGACGGGTGGGGTCAGGACGCAGGTTGGCTGGTGTGGGTGGGGTGGAAGGGGTCAGACAGTCAAAGCCCATTTCCCCAGGCTAAGGAGAGATGGACGTTATCTAGGAAGAGTTGGACTTTACTATTTAATTGGAGGCATTTGGCCCAGGGTAAATTCAAGCAGCACCAATCTTAATCACTTTCTCATCTCTCACCCCTGACTGCCCAGTTCTCCCCAGAAGCAACCATGCCCAATCTGTTTCCTGGGTGCCCTTTCTGAACTGCTCTCGCATATATAAGGCGCGTGCCTTAGGGGTATTTCTAACTGTTATCTTTTTTCTGATTGCAAATGCAAGTCCAGGCGGCAGTTAAAAAGTCCGTCAACATAGAAACAGGAAACGTAGAAGAGAAAGGTCTGCAAATGCACACTCCCCCCGCCCTGCACTCCCCAATAACACTGTCAGCCAAACTGGAGCCTTGTCTGAGGGCCTTACAGCTTGATGCTGTTCCAGAGAGAACACCCTGGTGCAGGTGGGGGCGGGGGTGGGGGGACGGACTAGAAGGCTGGGGACAGATTCTGAGGCTCCGGCAGTCCAGGCAGGTGACCAGGGCCGAGGCCAGAGCTCCCAGGAAGGGATGGACAGAATAATGTTGACGAAGGAGGACCTCCAGGCAAGATGCCAAGGAAGAGAAAGGAAATGGGATTTGGTGAATTTCGTCCCTGTCTCCTTAGGGAGGCCAGGAGAGTGGAGGAGGAAGCGGTCAGCGGCACCACAAGGCAGTGCTGCCGGCCTGATGTGATGTGAATCACGTCCCGGGGGGCCTGGCCACACCCCGAGGCAGTCTGGTTGCAGCTCCATCGTCCAGAGTCTGACTCACGGCCACTGGTTCACTCGGCAACAGGTCGGGACAGCTTCCTCCGACCAATCTCACTGGGAACTGGTAAGCTGGTGGGTCCAGTGGATACTGTTTGCCTCCTGTGGCGTTTGTGGCGAGATTCTTCCGTGGTTACTGACCAGCGATGTCCAGGAGAAATAGAAAACTCTATTGTTTTCCTTCGTGCTCCATACAATACTCCACGTCTGAAACCTCTGCTCACCAAATGCGTGGGGTTTTCCCCGCACCACAGAATTCTCCAGCTCTCAGCAGACACCGAAAGGGTTGTCCTACACGTTTAACTCAATTCGGACACTATCTCCCCGGAGATAGCAAGTTAAGGACTCAGTCCCACCAGGCTACCCCTCCCCCCATTCAAACACTGATCACAAATCCAGTAGTCACCCGGCCTGCTGGCCAGGAGAGGAAGCAGAGTTTGGGATCCTGGTTATTTTAAGCTGGTTAAGAAACAAAAGATCCGAAAGAATCTTTGACTTTCCCTCTAACCTCCTAACTAAAAGGAGCCTGGCCGGGTGGCTCAGTTAGCATATCATCCTGATACACCAAGGTTGGCGGTTCCATCCCTGGTCAGGGCGCATAGGAGAATCAACCAATGAATGCATAAATGACTGGAACAATAATTGATGCTCCTCCCTTCTTTTCTTAAAAAAAAAAAAAAATCAAAAGAATTTAGGTAGAAGACCTGCTCCAGGAAGGGAGTATATTCACCTATAACTATAGGTTAGTATGAAATGGGTGTGATAGGGAGGAACCTAGCCAGTTAAGGGTCCTCTCGGTGTCCCATTGTTAAAGGTGACCCAGCAAACATTTACTTTTCTGTTTCCACAGGCATTGCCTTCCTGCCCTTTGAAGTCCCAAATCACAGCCCCCACCCTTCTCCTTAGCTCAAGATGGCATATAAGCCTTCACTGCCCCATCTGTCCTGGGGTCTCATATTCTTAAGGAACCCATGTATGTACATAATTAACAAAGTTGGTCATTTTCTCCCATAAATCCATCTCATGTTAATTTGATTATTAGTCCAGCCAGAGGAACTTAAAAGAGTAGGAGGAAAAATTGTGTTTGCCCACAATGACCAGTTATACCAAGTCAGAGATTTCCACTACTCCCTCCTCAGGTTAGATTAATTTTCTAGAGTGGCTTATAGAACTCAGGACAACAGTTTGCTTACTAGGTTACCAATTTATTATAAAAAGGATACAATCTAGGAATGGCCAAGTGGAAGAGATGCATAGGGCAAGGTATGTGGGAAGGGGTGGGGAGTTTCCATGCTCTCTCCGGGGTACCACCCACCCACCACCTGGAAGTGTTTACCAACCCGGAAGCTCTCTGAACCCCCTAATTCAAGGATTTGTATGGAGGCTTCATTACTGAGGCATGATTGGCTAAATTACTGGTCATTAGTGATCAAGCCAATGTGCAGCCCCTCTCCGCTCCCAGGAGGTTTAAGTGGTAGGGCTGAAAGTTCCAACCCTCTAATCACATCACTGGTTCCCCTGGCAACCAGCTCCCATCCTTAGAGGCTTTCCAAAAGTCATTCATTAACATCAATTCAGATTTGGTTGAATGGGGCTGTGACAAGTAACAAAAGACACACACCACTTTCACCTTTATCTGAATAGCCCCGGAGCTATTCCAGGAACTAAGGACAAAAGTAAATATTACAACAAAAGATGCCCTTATGGTTCTTAAACAGAGAACTATAAGGATACAGGAGCTATGTGCCAGGAACAGTGGACAAAGACCAACTATATAGATTTCTTATTATAAACCACAGTATCACCGTGAGATGAAAGGGCGAGGGCTAGGCCCTCCACCTTGCCCCAGGGTAAGGGCTACGCCCTCCACCTTGCCCCAGGGTAAGTGCTCCATCTTACCTTGGCCACGTGCTTGGCAAGGAGCTTCTTCCCGGAAGTCTAAGCCTCTGCTAGCCACACCCAGGAACAAGACACAGACTTGTGCCTGGCCAATCGGCAGAGCACAGTCCTTTCTCCTCCCCTTCCTCCAACTCCCCCTATATAACCGGTCTCCACACAGAGTTATCTCTCTCTGCTTCCTGTCGCTGCGTCGGCAAGGTGGGGGAGCCGAGCTAGCTCGAATACAGATTCTTATGCTTTTGCATCGGATTGGCTGGCTCCTGATGTGGTTTCTTGGGAATCTTGAAATCTGGGCATAACATTTGGGGGCTCGTCCGGGATTCCCAGGACCATGTAGGGATCCTCAATCCGTAGAATCTGCGTAGCCGCGGTAAGTGTCTGTGTGTTGTGTATTCTGTCCTGTGTGAGCTCACTTCTGGAATCGGTGCCTGAGGGGTCCAGGCGGACGCGCCGTGTACGACCACAGGCGGGGGAGAGTTAGAAGACATTCTGCTCCCCACGAGGAATGTGTATTCTCCTCACGGATATGAGAGATGTGTATTCCTCTCATGAGAGATGTGTATTCCTCTCGCAGATTTGAGACGAGGCGGGTCGCACCCGCCGGTTTGGCTTAACGCCATCGTCTAGTTGCTTCCATGCATGGAGTTGGAAGGCTGTTCTTTGGGCCCTGTTTGTCTGTGTCTGTTTCTCTGTTTTCTGTGGACTTACTGGACGAATGTTATGGGACGGACTCAGACTGCTACTTTGGGTATTGTGATTGATCAGTTCAAGGAGATTGCGGGAGGCTTTAGAGCTCCCTCAGGAGTTGGGAAGTTGTTAGGAATTGAATGGATTGTTTAAACTCTTAATGAATGTCTGGTGAAAGTATGTGAGTGTAAAGGCAGGGGAGGGGTCCCCGCCCGCCCGCGCGCCTCCCAGGCAGGGAAGGTGAGCAGGGATCACTGTGCCTCGGGCTGCAGGAGAGGAAAGATGCGCCTGGATGGGGAGGTTGAGGCCGGCGCACCGAGGCCGCTTGCTGCGCAGTCGGGGCGCCGGGCGCCCGGGGGCAGGTGTGCAGGAGCGAGGCGTGCGGTGAGCACAGCCCTCGCCCCGGGGCCCGGCCGCGCTGCGGGCCCAGGTGGCTTGGGCTCCGTGGTGGCTGCGGCGGCAGGGCGTTGGCCCCCGGGCTTGTGGCGAGCGAGTGGAGCTGGGCAGAGCGCGGGGGGCAAGGCCGGCGAGTCGCTTGCGGGAGGCCGGAGCAGCGAGGCCCCCGGCAGCGTCGGGTCCAGGGGAAGGTCTGGGAAAGGTCCCGCGCGGAGCCCGCGGGCCAGACACCTGGGGGCGGTGGCGGCGGCTACTCTGGACGGGAGCAGGGCCCTTCCTGTGGAGATCACCACAGCTAGATCATAGAAGTTAAATGTAAAAGTTTTAAAATGCATCCAGGATTTCTGTGCACGTGTAAAGGGAAAAGGCCAGTTTAGAAACGAGTGCGCATAGTTTTGAGCTGAACTTGACCTTTTGCTGTGTACAGAATAAAAACTCGAGACTGTTTTGGCCTTAAAAATGGCAGAGATGAACCTGACAAAGAAATGTTCGGATTGAATTGGGAAAAATTATGTTATTGTGGTAACTAAATACCTTTGCTTATTGGTACAGCCACCATTTTGGGCTGCAAGCCTTGACAGCCGCCATGTTGGCCGCATGGTTTGCTGCTTCCCTGGGGGCCGCCATCTTGAAACAGCAAAGGCCCCGCCCTCTGATTTAGTCAGGGGTGGAGCTTTAAGGCAAAGTTTTATGGGGTTGCAAGTGTGCTTGTTTTGCGGATTTATTTTTAAGCTAATCTCTTAAATCTAAAAAACCCTGCTTTATGTCAAAGTCTTTAAAAGGGACTGATAGTAGTAATCCAATTTCTAAAGTCAGATAGATATATTGTCAATCTGAGGAATGTTAATTATTTACATATCACCTAAAAATTAAGGCTAAAAGTTCCAACTAACTAAAAAGCATGGCTTTGGTGTGATGGAAGGAAAGAAATGTTAAATGAATGGTAGGCCAGTAAGCTGGAACTGGTCACTGGTGGTGGATTGTGAGAAGCACTGGACATTGCCTAACTTCTCCTTCTTTGGTACCCCTGAAACATCGGAGGGTACTTCTGGCCTTGATTTTCTTAGTTTTTGGTTTTGGATTTGTTTGTTTATTTGTGATGAAAACCGTTTCTATCTAAATGAGACATAGGTCAAGAATCCTGTCCTGGGATGTGGGAAAGGCCCCCACATCTGTTCCTGTTAGTCCCCCATCAGGGGACTTGGGGGCGGTGTTCCTGTTATCTGCTCAAGAGCCCAAGACTGTAAAGATACTTGTTCACTGAAAAGGTGTAAGTGTAAATGTTTATTTGATGTTTGTAAGCATCTCTGTTTGTTTGCTGGGAACTTTGATCTGCTATGTGATATTCTGTGCTGGGTTGGGATTTTGGAATTCTGGGGTAAATTTAAAAGGTATCTGTGGCTTTTCTAGTCTGATTGGGACATTTAAGGATGGGGCTCACAGTTCCTCAAGGCAATGATTTAATGGGCCCTCCCCCCTGCCTGTGCTGAATTAGATAATACAGGCCAGTACTGATTAAGGAAGACAATGGGCCTTGGAATCTGTAAAGATAGGCGGGAATGAAGCTGGTCTAATGTACTGAAAGGGTTTGGTCTAGCAAAGGAGGGGCTGATACCCCCTCCTAGTGCACTCCCTTGAAAGAGGCCTGGTTGCTGCTCTGCCACAAAGGGAACTGGTAGAAACAAACCATGGAACCTGGTGAGGGCCATGGAGTGAGACCCTCGCGAGGTCTGAGAGTCACTGGAGCAGCCGGCCACCATGGGGCCCTGGGGAGAACCAGAGCTCCTGGTGTGGCGCCCAGAGGCAGTAGCCTTGGCTCCACCACTGCCTGTGGGCCTGGAGGTGAAGTTGGGGGCCCTGGTGCTCCTGCTGGTGCTCACGCTCATCTGCAGTCTGGTGCCTATCTGTGTGCTACGCCGACCAGGAGCCAGCCCCGAAGCCTCAGCCTTCCGCCAGAAAGTCCTGAGCCTGACGAGGCCCTGGCAGCCCTGCACGTGCGACCTGGGTCCATCACACCCACGTCCGGTCAGCGGACCCATCCATGATCCGGAAAGACTTCGTTACCAAATGGAGCATCGATCGAGATCAACGCAACCTGCTACCTGCCTGATGCTGGTAACATTGCTCGCGACTCAGATGATGCCTGCATCTTCATGGACATGGCTCCAAAGAGACAAGGACAATTTATAGGAAGGCCAAGAATAGACTTTAGTAGAATTTGGCTGCCTAAAGCGGCCATGATGCCAATATCATGTTTCATTGTATTGATATGTTATATTGACCTTTAATTCTCTTGCAGGTTTGAATGTATGTTGGCTGTCCTGGGTGACCCCCAAAAAGTAAAGGATGGCTAGCTGCCAAGAGGGCAGGTGCCCACCTGGGCAGGGAACGGTGTCCATCAGGTTTTGGTCACTGTTGAGAGACAGTTGACAGTTGACAGCCTGTGTACTGTTTGCAGGCCTGAGTCACCATGCCCATGTCAGGGTAGTAAAGCTGGAAAAAAGGCCTGTTTTAGAATAGAAGGTCCTAAGGCATGGTTATGCATAGAAAAGAAAAGTTTAATGCCAACAATTTAATGTTTTGTTTAAAAGGAATTGGCAAGGGAAAGTCAGGAAAATTCTTAGAATAGACCAATATGTCTTTCTTTTTATGTAATTCCTTCCGAAATTTGGCAATGCTAACATGGCAATACATTTCTTTGCATAGATTCAATTAAGACCGGTTCCTAATAATGGTTTTATTAATGGAAAACTTTGACTGGAGTATCATGTTTTAAAGAGCCCTGTCTGAGCTCTAAAGACTTGAAGCCAGTAAAAATGCCACGAAGAAAGCCTGGTATCCTGCTTGGAAGCCCTGAAGATGGCTGGCGCTGGAGCGTCAGGCCCATGCCCTACCATCACTGGCGGTTGGTCAGAGTAGAAGGGGAGCAGTAAGGATGCCTCTGCATCCCTGCGGAACCCCCACACACTCTGGGCCGCAACAAGTAGGAGGGCTACTGAGATGGGCCTTAAAGCCTGGAGTGTGGGCTCAGGTGGAGTTGCTACAGGTGAGGGATTCACCTAACTCAGCAGATACTGCAGGCGGGCCTGATGGCAGCTGGGTGGCATGGCTTCCTGGCCCTACGGGGCATATTAAGATTCAACCATGAGATTCCAGCAAAGGTAGTCAGTTACCATTCTTGTTGTGTTTATGCAAACATCAGGACAGTAGATAAATTAATCTTAATTTGGCTTTTTGATAGCCATGGAGGAATTTTAAGAAGAAAAATCCTGTTTCAATAGAAGTTGTTAAAGCTAAAATGGTTTCTTCCCCTTCCACCAGACCATTTGTTAAGATATGCCCAGTACGGGCCTCTACCAACGGTGGAATAGAAATGCAGTCCGTCTCATGATTGAGCCGGAAGTTCCAAGACAAAGGGGGGAATGAAAGGGCGAGGGCTAGGCCCTCCACCTTCCCCCAGGGTAAGGGCCATCTTGCCCCAGGGTACGGGCTACGTCCTCATCTTACCTTGGCCACGTGTTTGGCAAGGAGCT